GGTTTCAGACAGAGGGTGAAAAGAGGTGCTGCAGCACAGGCAGTATGATAAAGATAAAGACCTTTTTGAACATTAAACATGAAGACATGTCAGAGTAAAGGCACTAAAGACAAATATGCAAACTGACGATTAGAATAATAGGGCCCCTTTAACCCTTAGATGCATAAGTGGGTCTTTTAGGACCCGGTGAGGTGGTTTTCTTGAAGTATCTTTGCAATTACATTTTTTTATCATTTCATATTCAAGCTATTCCTCAAAAAACATGTTTTGGATATCATGCCATTCAAATTTTACATTTACATTTTTAAGAAGTTGTAGTTTTTGTATTGCTACCCCAAGCTTCAATAAGTGGGTCAAAAATGACCCGCATGCGTTTCCTATGGGAACCTTTGATTCTTATCACCTGTTGCTGTCAGGAATACATTCACTGTGGACCACACAGACGACATCACAAGTGACACCTCTCAGGAAGATTATTTTACACAGCAAGATCTGATACCTGTCAGTATAATCATAATAATAATAATAATAATACATTATATAGGGATATATGTATAGGGCTTTTTAAGGACTCAAAATCACTTCACAATATAAGGGAAGGTTAGGGTGGGGGGTAGAGGACTATCAAACTTGATCAACCGGCATGGATTGATGGGATGGGGGTGGGCTATGAGTAGACAAGAGGAGAAGAGATGAGTTTTGAAAACGGGCTGGAATACTGTGAGGGTCTCAGAATAGATCTTTGGGACAATATGTTCAAAACGTTTTTTTTCAAAATGTAAATTATAAATAGTGAAAAATTAAATATCAAATATTTCTAGTGTGAACCAAAATATAATGCTAAATATTATACAAGTTATTTTTCTTAACCAAAATGACAAAAATGGCATAAAAACACATTATTCTAATACGGGTTGTTTTGACCCACTTATGGAAGAGTGTAGGGTCCAGTCCCTCTAAGGGTTAACTCAGGGCTGCATAATTAATTGAATGTTAGGTCACAGGTTTTTAGTTTACCACAGTTCATTTAGCATAACATGGCTGCGATATTGACGTTTAAGAAGCATACATTTGCTCATAGAAAACATTATATGAAGTATACTACAAAAAAAGGGATGGAAAAAATAGAAATGGAATAAACTCAGCTGAAGATGAACATTATTCTGAGTCATTTTGATGCACATACTTTTCTTTGGTTTGCTTTGAAAGTAAAAGCAGTGCTCTTTTCAAATGTCACCTCTTAGATGAAGGTGTGACTTTTCAATTCTGAGAGATACAATGCCAAGTAACTACAGCTCAGTAATTCCTACAGTACTTTACACGAGATAATTGCTGCTAAACGTGCCTAAGGAAGTATTGTAACCTGTTATGTAACTCACTGTGTCACTAAAGAAGTATTTGGGGAGATAAACATGACCAAATACACACAAGAATGTCAATATTTGTTGTAAAGTCAAACGGTTATTGCTTAATCATACTTTCTATGCATGTTTTTTAATAGTTCCTCCTCCCAACTGTATCGTACCTGACTGGTTTTGACCTGGACGTCCTGTCTGAGCTGATCCAAGATGTCTGAAGCCACCAGAACATCCTCTCCCAGACGCTCAGCCCCCTCGTCCAGTTGGCTCTTTTCGGCCCGGGCGGCCTGCAGCGCCACCTCCAGGACGATCTTCTCGTTCTGGAGGAACTGGATGTTGTCGTCCTTGGCGATGCCGTCCGTCTGCAGCTCGGCCAGCTGGGCCTCCAGCTCCAGGAAGCGAGCCTCCAGCTGGTTGATGGACTGCTCTTTGGTCTGCAGGTCTTCCTGAGTGCAGGTCAGCTGGCGCATCAGATCCAGATGTTCTTTCTGGATCTGATGCAGCTGCACGTCCTTCTGGGAAAGGATCAACTTCGCCTAAGAGGGATAGAGTGCCAGTTTAGAGCAGGACATAAGACGCATTTAACTGTCCTTACAACTAGAGCTGTGCAATTAATCTTATTTTAATCTTGATTTTGGCTTGAAATAAAACGATTACTATTTTTATTTAAAAAAATTTAAAAAAGTAATTGTTTTTTATTTTATTGTTTTTTCAGTTGAATTATTCTTAAAGTTCAGGGTAATCAACTATTAAAAACATACTGTTCAATTTTTTTAATTTTATAATTGTGATATCAATTATTGACCAAAATAATCGTGATGATTTTTGCCATAATCGCACAGCCCTACTTACAACGTGGGAAAGGAATGGTTACCTGCTCCAGCTCCCTCTCCAGGCTGCTGGCGGTGTTGGCCAGTTTAGCTAAGTGGTCTCGCTCATCCTCAAACTCCTCCAGTTTGTGCTGCAAATCATCTTCCACCATGTTCTTTGCATCCTGGATTTGCTTATAAGCAGATTCCTGGCTCATCATGTCGGACTACAAAAAACAACAGGACAGACAACGGACAGCAAAAAGGTTTTACACAAGATTTATACAAAAAAACAATGAAAAAACATTTTAGTCCTGGTAATTTAGAAACGTGTGCTTTGATCCAAGGTCCTTGATTGCACAATAGGCACGTTCACACCGCAGTACTTTTCCCACTTTAGTTCCGAAATGTCGCGTTCACACCTTTTTACCCCCTTTTCCGTCCCTGCTCTGTTCCTATATCTGATTGGCTGGGCGGAATGCAAACCACGCCCGTAAAACTCCCAAAACGTTTTGTGAAGCCGCCATTTTATTATCCTCGCATTAGCATTGTTAGCATTAGCATTAGCCCAGCACACCAACGGAGAGAGACTAACTTATGGCAACACCAAAGAAAACATGGGAGCGGTGGAGATGAGGAGGTGTCGGCGTTCTGGCGATTTACTCGAAGGCTTCGGGAAATGAAGCCGCTGACGTCAC